ACATTTGAACCAGAAAAGTTCTAAAATATATATAACTCAGACTGGACAAGTTAGGCAATTATTCCTGTGAATTTTTGCCTGGAATGAAATGTCCAGACAATAAACTGGCTTTCTGATTTTCAGACAATTCCACAAAACCCTGTCTTCTTCTAAGAAATTAAAACCTTTTGTAGTTATATTCAAGGGAGAATCTGAGAACACTTCATAAAACAGACATAAACCTAGATCTTTAGAATTATAATTTTTCTATTATTAAGTTTGTGCATTTTGAGTCGGCTCCATTTTGATGTCCAGATTAGTGCTATTTTGATACACAGGTTGAATTAAGACTTTTCATTGCTTGTGTTAAAATCTAACAGTTGGCTGGTCTCTCCAAATGACAGTGTTTTGCACAGAGCAAGTGTGTGTACCTATCATGTGACCACATTCATCTGAAGCTAAAGCAGCAGCGTAGGAAGAGGAGCATGGAAGTCAGTGTCTGATGTAAAAATATTATCTTCTGGCTGGTTTCCAGCACGGTGACTGATTGTGGTGGCTCTCACTTTCATTACTGCAAGAAAAATTGTTCAATATATTTTAAATGTACATCCAATCTGATAGACACGGAATGTGAATTTAGTCACTTTTTCTCTGAGCAGGATCAATATGTCTGCAGCTGACTGGTATTTCTGAAGTTGTATATTAATTTTTAATAAATCTTCAGAATTGGTTACTTCACCTTTTTATTTTTTTAGCTTTAGTTTACTTCAAGTTTGACACATATTTGTTTTCAAACCATTCATCAATGATGTTTCAGAAGTCAAACATAAGATGAGCTGTAAACTTGATTTATGATCGAACAGCTTTCCTTTAAAAGGCACTGACCTATCAATACCCATTGTTTTTAAAGAGGAATATAGCAATTTTGATTAAAATGATTTCTTGACTCTAAAGCAGTGGGGGTAGACAGTGCAGGGTGGGAGGGATGGTGCGAGGGTGGTGAAAAACAAAAGCAAAAAAAAAAAACCAAAAAAAAGTGAGAAGGAAAAAAAGAAAAAACCAAGAGGGAAGAAGGGAGAAGTGAATCCATATATGAGTAGATAATAATATCCAGGAACTAAGATTCTTGCCAAGAGACTTGAGAATTCCCTCATGCAAGAATAGGAACCCGAGCACTCTGTTCCTCCTGTGTGACAGCCATGTTGATAAGTACTACCTGTGGGAAGAGCATCTTCTCTTTATATTTTTAAACATATTCAAAGAATTTTTGTTCTTTATATACAGTAAAGAACAGGAAGTGCTTTCAAATCAAGGATATTTTTGTAGGACACGAAAATTATTGCCTTCATGCATCTATTTCTAAAAAAAAGAATAAAAGGTATTTAACTTGTTTAAGAGACCAGACATAGTTGTGAGTTTCATAAATTCAGTTGGGTTCTTGATATTTAGTAACATTTTAGAAAGAAATAATTAAATTATGCTTTTTCTGTTCAATTTAGTAGATAACTGGCTCAATATATCTGTCTGAAAATGATATTGATTTTGAACAGACTCTCACATGGCTTAGTTAGGAAGTCATTCCCCATGATTTTAAGGATGTGAAAAAGTTTATAGGAGATATATAGGTCTACTCCAGAGTTTCTAAACTAAATGAAGATTGTAGTAACTCTGTGCTGTCCATTAATGTTGACTTTCCACAATTTAGAGTGTACACTTGAGGGGTGTAGAGGCAGCTAGAGAAATTCTCACCTCTGCATCAGTCCACTGGAATTAATGTGCCAGAACGTACTTACATACATTTTCAGGCTAAGAAATGGATCAAATAACAGACACTAAAGGCCCTGTGTGACTGAGGAAAAGTTTCAGATCACCTTGGAAAATTTGATATTTAAGCACATATAGTTATTAAAATTCTTTTCTTTGCCTATATAACTCCTATTCACAGTAGCTTCCTACAGTTTAAAGTTCTGGAATGCAGAACTTTACTGGATATGTTTACTTTTCTGGACAGGTGAAGGAGTTGACCCTGGAAAATATGACTGCTTATAGGACAGACATGCAGCAGTGTGAGGTTGGTAGACATCTAAAGAAATGCAATGCTGGGGTACTCCTCCCAATTTAGAATTTTTGGAGTTGCATTGTCTTACTAAATATAAATTGTTACTGTCAACAAACCTTGGTAACTCACCCATCAAAATAAGTATAGGACACAATTAACTTCTGTCGAATCTTTGTTTTACTATTGATTAGGGAGGTTTTGTACTCCTTGGGGATGGGGCAGAGTGCACTCTAAACAAAATGGGAGGAACGGGTGACAAAGTAGAGAACAGAGATGCTCCTTCAGGAAGCCTTGAAAAGTTGGAGAAAATCATGGAGTCAAAAAAAGAGCAAAGGCAATATCTTGGTCTAGAAGATGAATAATCCTGTGCAGCAGTCCCAGAACCTGGGACTGACTGAGTAGGAAAAAGCTTTGCATGAATTGTCCTGTCAGCCCAGGTGGACAATAAATTGAGCATGAGTTGGTGAATCCCAGCTGCAAAGCTCTTGGCAACACTTCAGCCAGCATGTCCAGAAGTGTCCATGTCCATGCTCCCAGTCCTGCTGTGTCTGTGAGGCCACACCTGGGACACTGAGAAATTTTCAGCCTTTTGCTGTTCAAAAAGACAGATGCACAGAACCAAGTGCAGTGTAGGGCCACTGGGTGGCTGGCAGCTGGAACACCCAAAGTGGTGAAATCTGCACCCACAGAGGTGTTCAAAATGTGACTGGATAGGTCCTGACAACCTGCTCTATTGGACCTGCTTCCAAGAGGAGGTCGGGTCACTTGGCTTCCATCCTGTGATGCTGATACATCATTTATGTATCTAATTTGTTGTTTTCAGTAGCATTTTATTTCTTAAATTATGTATTAAATCTCATAAATTAAACTGGGCAAAAATTTTATAACTTCATACTTCTGTTGAAGGATGATTTATTTCCATACATCCTGGGCCTTTTCATTTAAAAGTAGAAAGCTTCTTAGAGACCTGAGATACAGGATCATAAAAGTAATGTTGGTCTTTGCTTAAACTGATAATAATGCTGGTTTCTAATCCACTTATTCATTGCATTCAGATTAACTCCACAAGTTACTATATCTTTACTTACAATGAGGGAACTTTGCTCACAGTTTCAAAACAGATTTAGAAAAACAGTGACTCAGAAGACATTATCTAATGAATAGTAATTGAGTTGAGAATGACAGAAATGCAAAATTAAATCTAAATTCATACTGGATGTTTAAAAAATGGCAATGTGCTGATGAATTATGAGCCTTTACAGAGAAGTTAAGAAATGAAATGACTAATTTTACAGTTTAAGAAGAAAATATATTTTGAATCCTTTTCCTTTCCACCCACTTTAGAATTTAAGAAAAAAAAAAAGAGAGAGAGAAAAACAGATAAAAAGAATTAACATTGGTGTAAAGAAAAGTAGCAAGCCAGAGATGATGCCAAAAATCTTTCAGCTTTCTCCAAAGCCTGTAGCGCAGAACGATTTCCCATAGAAACTAGGAGTTGGAAGAAGAATGAACTGAGAGAAGGTTTTTGGACAAAGTACACGTGTTTTACCACTCCACTGAATTTTGATTCATTGCTAGGTCTGATAGGTTAACACCTCTTATACCAACTGAGTGGGTTTATGCTTTTATCATATAAAGGATAATCTCTGTAAAGCAGAAACACGAGTTGATAATGGTTCCATTCTGTAATTGTTGTAAAGTTGAAATTAATGCTGTACTTTTTAAAGAACATTGATAATTTACTAAAAGACCAGAGGAAACATAATGAAGAGAATGCAAATAAACTTCTCCTGCTATTTCACTGACAGGAGACAAGTGTGTTTTGTAGATTAAGCCCATACACATATGGGAATGTGTGTGTGTCAGTAAGAACAGGAGCATTGATTTTGACAAGTTGAAGGGAACAAATATTCTAGAGCTGTATCAAAATGTCAAATGTATTTAAATCTGCGACAGCCCATAATCTGTGTTAAAAACTGAAGTATGAATTGATGTTGAAAAGCAGAATATCAAAATGTTGCAGGTGACTAGAAAAATTGGAAATTTCCCATGAATATTTAGTACCAGTATTAAAGGGGGGAAAAAAATCATTCTTTTTGGTTCATATGGCATGCACACATCTCTCAGACACAGTAAAAAGTACACTTGCTAACAAAAACAAAAGTAGTAATAATCAATGTCACTTCCATGAACCAAATAGGCAGATGTTATATTTGGTAGAATAGCATGATTAATATACATGCATACTTTGAACACACTTCAACAACCATCAGAAAGTTTTTAACCACTACAAAATTCTTTCTATTCCACCATTGTATAAGTCTACTAATATTATCTCAGGGTAGACCAAAAGGGAAAAGAGAAGCCGTCGTATTAGGAATCTTGACATTATTTCATTGTATTCATTCCCTGGATTTTGAAAACAGCCTTTTTCAAGTACTCCGCTCTACAAAGTTTTGATGTTGGGGATGTCTTTTCAAATAAAATTTTCATCAAATATTCAAAATTGTTTTAGAGTAACTTATGTTATCTATCTTTTAATGACTATACCTTATAGAAAAGTAATTAAATATCACAGCAAACTATGAAATCCTGAATAATATTTACAAAAAGAGAAAATTCAATGTCAGTGCATTTTTGGTTTGGGTTTTTTTCTTGATTGGTTGGTTTAGAGGTTTTTGTTGTTTTTCTTTTATTGCTTGGTTGCTTTATTTTTTTTTTTTTGGTGGGTTTTTTGTTTGTTTTTGTGGTCTTTTAAAGAGTTTACTTTTTTAATAAAAGGACTTTTAATTTTGGAGCTATATTTACTGTCTAAGCAAAAACATTTACATCTACTGAAGGCAGGAACATTATTAAAACAAAATAAAACCAAAGCCTTCTTGAAATATTAGGTATAAAACCAAGTCTTAGTCTACCCAATAATAATCAGAGCACTACATATGTGAATTTCTTTCTTTTCTAGCGCCACTAACAGATAAACCACCAAAGCTTTTACACCCCTTGGAGAGTAAGCTAACAATTCAGGAGACCCAGTTAGGTAAGTAGCAAACATAACTTCTATTCAAATTGTATGAAGGAATTTCATGTGTTAATGTATGATGGTAATGTAATGGCATGTTTACATTAATAATTTAATTGAAAAGACATTAGACATATGTTGATTCCATGCAGAGATGTATGATATATCATTGACAAGACTGTACTTGACAAAAAAAAAATCTTAATAATTAATACTGAATGCTAAGCTTTTGGTTACTGATACAAGGTTTTATCTTGCTGAAAGTCAACAGTGACCAGAGTATCTGAACTTAACTTTCCCTTCTCTGTATATTTATACATACTTACTCTGGGATTCACTGGGATTTTGTGGTTTAAGTTCTGCTCGGAAGACTTCTGTGTTTTGTTGGCAGCAAAGATATTCCCTAATTACAAAGTTTGTGCTGGGCAAATCATCCAGCAAACAGTAGTATTATCATAATAGCATCTGATAATTCTGAATATATGGATATTTATGCATAGATGAAAGAACAGAAATTGATGCATGAAGAAAGCATTTTGCTTCACTTTTTCTAGTCTAGTGGGTGGTGGATATGATTGGTCACTTTCACGTCCTACTGCTGCAGAGCTAATGAAGGCTCCAAAACTGAGTGCATGAGTTAATAGATTTTGCAGGATATAGCAATTTATCTCTTTGTGGATTGGCAATGAGAGCAACTTGTAAGAAACAACAGTAGGTTACACTGGAATTATGCTTTGGTGTCAGAACAGTAACCTATTGATAGATTTTCTAGCATGTTGGCTACAGGAGAAAATGGAAACCAATCTGGTGGAAACAAATCTCGTAGGAAAAAAATATAAATAAATCTCATAGAAAAAATACTGCAAGTAAAGCTCAGTACATTCTGCAACACAACATCAGAAAAAGCAGAAGGCTTGCAAATTAATTCTGACAGTCATTGGCAGAGCATTTTATGGTGATTACCAGTTTATGGCTAATAGTGGCCAGAGAATAACTCATATTTTCTTTAATACTAGTAAACTATTTCTTTGAATGATTCAGGCTATCCAGGTAAATTTCTGATATGTTGATATACAGGTTTTGTAGAAACTATTATATAGAAAAGGAGCCTTGCAGCATGTTTCCTTCTAGAGCTTTCTATTTTTCTGCAGGTATTGTTTCTGATATACTGATTCAGAAAATCTTTCCTGTATGCCAGTCCTAAATGGTTTTAGGTTGTTTGAACACAAGACTAGGGAACAGAGAACAAAGTGACTGCACATTTGTTTTTTAACTAATGTTTCTTACTGAGATATTATGGATGAAAAAAAGAAAAAACAAAACCAAAAGGCAGAACCTTTCTGGGCTTTGATGTTGTCCTGCTAAATATACTGTATGGTGAGGCTATTTCAAGAAGAGTGTAATTATTAATGGCTAGCTAGAAGCTTTTTGTCTATGATTTTTAGAATTAATCTCAGTTTTGATTTTTCATAGTTCTAAGAAACATATCAAATCATTTGAAAAGAGCTGGGTTTGAAAAAGACACTTTAGGAAGCTAAATAGCTGTTGGTGAATATAAAAGAGCTAACTTGAAAACATCACTTTCAGACACAGATGGGAAAGTCTGACCATAAATTAATTTATGGTGAAGTTACAGTACTTAGCCTTGTATCAAAAAGCTACAAGAATATATTAATTTGTTGTTTAAAAGCCCATGAAAAACATGTGAGAACTGGAACAAGTGAGAGAAATTGATAGTTCCCTAACACGAAAACCGTGTTTTTCTGTTCTTAGATTTAATGCCTTAGTCCTGCTGGATAACCTTTGAAAGGTCTGTGTTTCCCTGAGGAAAGCTAGTGTTCATTTCTGGGGGTCAGTTCATACCTTGCAGAGATGCAGAATATTTTAATGTTGGAATAACGCCAAGGTTCATTTAGATAGCTGTTGAAGCTATGAGAATCCTACTCAACTGAGACTTGGGGTGGCCACATTTTGTGACCAGTCTAGACACTGCCAGAAAATGTTAGTCCTCCAGAATGTATTTAGGATGGTGTGTTTGTCCCTTACTTGGAAAATAAAAGTGTTGGTGGACATTGGAGGAGTAGAATGGGTGATATTCCCATTCCCAAAGAGAAGACAGAGAAAGGAACGAGGAACTTGGGGCAGTCCAGGATTTCTTTAGCAGGTAAGCAATTGCTGGGAAGTTGGGGCAATCCCTGTTCTCCTGCCATATTTCTGTCCTCACCTTGCAGTCTTCAGCTGGAGTTGAAAATGAAAGAGGTTACGTGTGTGTGTCAGGGAATGTTCTGGGAGGTCATACCTGCCTTACAGGGATGTGTGTTAGCTCCAGGCACACATGATGTACTCAAAAGTCAATGGTGATGGTTCACCTCCAAATCTTCCCCTGTGGAGCCCTGCTGGGCACACTTCTGAGGAAGACCTCAGTAATACCGGTGTATTTCTGTTGAAAGAGCTACTGGAATTCAATTTTAAACAGAACACCTCCAGGCGGTATCTAATTAGAGGTGTATCTAACTCCCAAGACATATCTAAGACACATTTTATTCATTTAGCTCCAGCACTGCTGGGTGAAAGACATGGGAGGCATAGGGGGGTCTTCTACACACAGCAATTAAAACTAATGCTATGGGACCACAAACCTGTTGTGTCATTTTCTTGCTTGGCTTCCACAAAACAACATCAGACCAGGATGTGACTGCAGGGAGGAGTTTCTCTAAGGGATGACTGATATGGATTAAGTCAGACTTGCCAAGGCAAAAGGTGAGAAACCAGAGTTGGAGCATCTGCACACCTCAGTCCTAGGAACCCACAGGTTCCCATAGTGCTCAAGTCATCCTGAGTTGCTTGAGGAAGAGGTGTCATGCTATTCTGCTGGTATTTGGGAGTGTGTCAAGGATGGTTGTGCTGCAACCAGCAACTTCAGAGAGTCACAGGTATCTTGATATATAGTCAGAAATATCTGTTTATTTCACTGAATAATAACCAGAAATGCACAAGATAGAAGCACAAGATAAAAATTGAAGGAGAAATTAATTTCTCAAAGGTTTTTCATATAAAATAGCATGGGAGAGCTAAGGAATGAAGTACAAATACCTAGATGAGGAAAGAAAGATTAGTTTCTGGACTTTATGTTTTCTGTTTGCTACTTCACTTCCAACTTTGCAATCAATTACTTAATCCTGTTGCAAGGATAAAAAATGCTAATTACATTTAAGCTTTTCTTCTGTTAAAAAGGCTTTTAGGTAGATATGTGACCCCACTACAAGCTACTTCTCTGGAAACAACATCTCCAGATAAAATATTATGTTAAATACACTCTTCAAAAGATTGTGTGCTGCAAAGCTTGGTGCTGTAAGAAGATGAAGAGTGTTTTCAGCTCTGAGCCTCTGTGGTCTGGCAGCAGCGTGGGCCAGGGAGAGAAAAGCTGGCAATGAGCAGGAGGCCAGGGAAGGAAAGGCATGGGAATGAGGAACATAATGACCAAGGAACTGTGCTCCACAATATTCTTCTTCTTACCTTCAACATGCTAACCAAATCAAGTGTACAAATCCTTGATAACATAAGAACCCCTTGTAATAATAATGAAAACACAAGCCTGAAAACACTAATGCAGATCTGTTCAGGGAGGAATTAATTAACATTGCTCCTTATATATCAGAAATACTAAAACTTTGGGGAACTATATTTTTAGAGTCATGCAGATGTTATGTATTTATGATAGAAATAGATCTTATCCATTATATGTAAATTTTGTTTTAAAATTATATTCTGGGATTTTTTTTATTGGTAACTTCAGAGTCTTTTGAGTTTCACCTTTCAGGTTACAGTGTTCTTCACACCAACACTGTCCAATATCTGTCCCCCTCAAGGAAACAGAGAATACTGTTAGCCTAACACAAAAAACCTCTGATTTTAGTAACAAGTTGGTTTATGCTGTGTTACTAAAATAGACAAATGTGATTCCACAACAGACAATAATGGATTGGGATTAAAAAATTACAAAGCATGAAATAATTATTTTAAAAACCTCACAAGCTAGTTAGCCTCTGTCCTCCCCACTTTTTCAGTGTGTCTCCTGGTTTTGCACAAGTCTGTAATTTGACATGCCAAAATTCACCCAGAAAAATAAAGCTATTGTTAAGTTATTTTTAGCTAAGTAGGCTTGATGTTAGAAAAGAGAAACAAAAAAACAAACAAACAAGAACCCCAAAGAAACCACAAACAATCAAACAAAAAAGGAATAGAGTATTTCTAGCACAATATGAATGGACCTAAAAGGTAAGTTTGTACAGGAACCAAGAGACTTTCCCTGCCATCAGAATAAAGTGAATTTTCCTAAATTGTATCCAACCCAAAACATTACTTGTGACCAAGTAATGTTTTTATCTCGGACATTACTTTGATAAAATTAAATTAACTATCATATACTGAATTGAGGATTTCTTCTTTCTCACCCTTTCCTGCACAAATTCAAGAAAAAAATTTCATTGAATTACTTTTAGTATATTATTTCTAAGGTAGTAATAGAAAGCAGCTCCCCCATAAGGGACAGAAGAATGCTGATGCATTTATAGCACTGGATTGTCATAAAAATTTTCCACAGAAACTGGCCTTGTTAATGACAAAAGCCATCCATAACTAGATTAATCAGTAGATGTATAAATAAATTAACTAAAGTGATATGCAATAACTAGCAATCAGCGACTCCTTTCAGGACAGAAATTGAATTGAAAAAATATTGAGAAGTTTTTTTTCTACAGATTACATGTAAATGCTCTATTCACTCCACAACACAAACATATTTTTTTCATTATATGAAGAATTTCAAGTTCATATGATTACATCAACTGTCTTTAAACAAAATTGTACCTTTTCTTTGATAATGTGTTTCAATTGGACACTTGCTCTTTAATATATTCTATTATTAGATTAATGTAATATGGGCAACTGTTTCATATAGGAATAATTAAAACTGTAAATTCAAAATTTGCTTCCCCAATGCCAGCTAATTTATTTTT